TGGGGGCATTGGTATTCGATCTGGGTCCAGACAGCAGGGTGAGTTACTCTCTGCTGACGCATTGTGAAGTACAAGTGCAATGTTAATCGTTTGGCTGGTGGTCCCTGTGCTGCCAAGAGCAGGTCATCTGGGTTCAGACCCTATACAGCAGGGAAACCAACCACACGCTGACTAGTCAGACTGAATTTGCTACAATAAATACTTGTGGAGGCTTCGCATCGCTTGTGGGCATCGGAATTCATTTCCATATTAAGAGATTAGAATTAATTGAATTGTAATAGAAAATAAAGCCTATGCTGTCCGTACCCCGCCACCACCACAAACCAGGCTGGCACCCTGCCTTAGTGTTTTTATGAGAGAGACTGACTGAGCTAAAACTCGCATATGTATGTGTGGTGAAATATTACTTGTTTAGTTTCTGTCCCCTTGATGTACACAGTGGACAAAACATTAAGAACACCTTCCTAATATTGAGATGCACCCGCTTTTGCCCTCAGAACAGCCTCAATTCATTGGGCCATGGACTCTAGACAGTGTCGAAAGCATTCCACAGGGATGCTGGCTCATGTTGACTCCAATGCTTCCAAGGTGTGTCAAGTTGACTGGATGTCCTTTGGGTGGTGGACCATTCTTGATACACACAGGAAACTGTTGAGTGCGAAAAACCCAGCAGCGTTGCAGTTCTTGACACACTCAAAAAAAAGCAGCCAACAAGTGCTCAGCATATGTGGGAACTCCTTCAAAACTGTTGGAAAAGCATTCCAGGTGAAGCTGATTGAGAGAATGCCAAGAGTGTGCAAAGCTGTCATCAAGGCAAAGGGTGGCTATTTGAAGAATCTCAAATATAAAATATATTTTTATTTGTTTAACACTTTTTTGGTTACTACATGATTCCATATGTGTTATTTCATAGTTTTGATGTCTTCACTATTATTCTACAATGTAGAAAATAGTAAAATTAAAGAAAACCCCTGGAAAGAGTAGGTGTGTCCAAACCTTTGACTGGTACTGTATGTCCCTCTAGCAATTTCATAATTTCTCCTGAAAAGCAACAATCTACTGTTATATTTACCACAAATGTGAGTTGGGTTGCAGTCATGAGATGTATTACATAGGAGCCTTCTATCCATGACACCGAGTCCCCTGAGAAAGAGAACACATTCCTTAGACCCTTAGTTTAGCCAGCAGCATACCACCCTGCATCCCACTGCTGGCTTGCCTCTGAAGCTAAGCCGGGTTGGTCCTGGTCGGTCCCTGGCTGGGAGACCAGATGCTGCCGGAAGTGGTGTTGGAGGGCCAGTAGGAGGCACTCTTTCCTCTGATCTAAAAGAATATCCCAATGCCCCAGGGCATTGCCCTGTGTAGGGTGCCGTCTTTCGGATGGGACGTTATACAGGTGACCTGACTCTCTGTGGTCACTAAAGATGAGTCTAAAGATACCATGGCACTTATCAAATTAAATCAAATTGATTGGTCACATACACATGGATAGCAGATGTTATTGCGAGTGTAGAGAAATGCTTGTGCTTCCAGTTTCCCGACAGTGCAGTAATATCTAGCAAGTAATATCTAACAGTTCCACAACAAACATCTAATACACACAAATCTAAGTAAAGGAATGGAATAAGAATATATAAATATATGGATGAGCAATGTCATTGACAGAGCGGCATAGGCTAAGATGCAATAGATAGTATAGAATACAGCATATACATATGAGATGGGTAATGCAAGATATGTAAACATTATTACGATAGTATAGAATACAGTTTATACATATGAGACGAGTAATGCAAGATATGTAAACATTATTAAAGTGCCATTATTAAAGTGACTTGTGTTCCATTTATTAAAGTGGCCAGTGATTTTCAAGTCTGTATGTAGGCAGCAGCGCCTCTGTGCAAGTGATGGCTGTTTAACAGTCTGATGGCCTTGAGATAGAAGCTGTTTTTCAGTCTCTCGGTCCCAGCTTTGATGCACCTGTACTGACCTCGCCTTCTGGACGATAGCGGGGTGGTCGTCCTTGATTGTCTTTTTGGCCTTCCTGTGACATCGGGTGCTGTAGTTTGTCCCCGGTGATGCGTTGTGCAGACCGCACCACCCTCTAGAAAGCCCTGCGGTTGTGGGCGGTGCAGTTGCCGTACCAGGCGGTGATACAGCCCGACTTGATGCTCTCAATTGTGCATCTGTAAAAGTTTGTGAGGGTTTTAGGTGACAGGTCAAATTTCTTCCGCCTCCTGAGGTTGAAGAGACGCTGTTGCGCCTTCTTCACCACACTGTCTGTGTGGGTGGACCATTTCAGTTTGTCAGTGATATGTACGCAGATGAACTTAAAACTTTCCACCTTCTCCACTGCTGTCCCGTCAATGTGAATAGGGGGGTACTCCCTCTGCTGTTTCCTGAAGTCCACGATCATCTCCTTTGTTTTGTTGACGTTGAGTGAGAGGTTATTTTCCTGACACCACACTCCGAGAGCCCTCACCTCCTCCCTGTAGGCTGTCTCTTTGTTGTTGGTAATCAAGCCTACTACTGTTGTGTCATCTGCAAACTTGATGATTGAGTTGGAGGCGTGCATGGCTACGCAGTCATGGGTGAACAGGGAGTACAGGAGGGGGCTGAGCACACACCCTTGTGGGGCCCCGGTGTTGAGGATCAGTGAAGTGGAGATGTTGTTTCCTTTCTTCACCACCTGGGTGCGGCCCGTCAGGAAGTCCAGGACCCAATTGCACAGGGCGGGGTTGAGACCCAGGGCCTCAAGCTTAATGATGTATGGGTGTTAACCCCGGTGTCCTGGCTAAAGAGTAGGGGTGTTAATCCCGGTGTCCTGGCTAAATTCTCAATCTGGCCCTCATACCATCATGGCCACCAAATCATTCAATTGGCTCATTCATTCCCCCTTCCTCTCCCCTGTAACTACTCCCCAGATTGTTTGTTGCTGTAAATGAGAATGTGTTCTCAGTCAATTTACCTGGTAAAATAAGGGTAAAATAAATAAAAACATTTAAAAGAGTTAGTCCACTGTTCGAGTCAGTCTCCGGGGAGGCCATTAGCCTGCACATTGATCCACTGCAATCTGTCCTCACATCAAAGTCAAGGTCTCATATAGAATGTACTGGAATGTTTTAACAGAACTATCCTTACATTCACTGATTAGTTCTGTTAAAACATTCCAGTACATATTATGCTGAAGGAATGCACTGGGGCACCTAGGTTTGAGGTAGAACGTCCTTGTATGTGTGGTTGAGTGTATTTCTCTAAAGAAAGAAAACATGTTAACCATCCTCTTTAATAGCTTCATTAGTCCAAGCAGCATTGTTGTGCAGCACCATTGCTTAGTAGATGCAGATTAAATGTCATTTCAGATTAGAAAGCACTGAGATCCACTGATGCAGGCTGACCGATTGACTCTCTTCATTGGTAGAGTGAAAAATATGGGTGAATGTGTTTTACGCCCCATGGCTTTTGGAAACTATAACTCTGAAATGGTCATTAGTATTTCCCATGCTTATGTTGCACTCTGAAACGTCCTATTAGTCATGGTAATGTCCTTCGTAGGAAAATTAGAAAGTGCTTATTTGATTACATCATACATCACCGGACTTGACCCTGTCAAAACAATTTGACATACTTCATCTGGTAAATCCATACCTCACAATTACAAGATGTTGCATATTACAGTAAACAATTGTTGTCATTTTTATTATAAATACAGAATTGATTTAAAACGATGAAGTTCTGTTTGAACAAAAAGGCCCATTATTATATAGTTATTACACTATGATAATGATGGAAGACTCTTATAGGAAAGTGCTGCACCATCATGTTTTCGGAGTATGACAAAACTTTGTTTCGGGTAGGGTTGAAACATTTTCGGTAATTTCTCAAAATTCCCTGGTTTTCCAGAACTACGGGTTGGATGATTCTTGGAGGGAATGAGCAGGAAATCCTGCAATCCTCCTACCTGGATTTCTGGAAAACCTGGGAATTTCGGGAAAGTTACCAGAATTTTGCAACCCTAGCCTCAGGTAATGACACTTCTCAATATGTCTACTGAATCACATTGCATACATGCCATTAACAAAAAGATAATACATTTTAACATTGATATAGCCCTAAACCTGAATGGCTGAAGCAGTGAGAGTTCCAATGGACTCAGGTGCCTTCTTATGGGCTGAAGGGAAGGAGGAGGATTCTCTCTACTGTCATAAACCTCTGGTTCAATCATGCTGATTTTATGAGGCCCACCACAGCGCTAGCTGGTACAGTAGATAGAAATTTGGCGGTGCTGGGGCTGTGGGCGGACAAGCTCTTAACCTAACAGAGTTATGAAGCCCTGTGCTCATGACGGAGTGTTGAGAGGCAGGCCTTCGTGCATCAATCAGTTAGTCAAAGTTTCCATCACATTTACCTTGCATGGTCGAACCTTACTGTCAAAGAGATTTTGGCTGCGTGCTTGTGGACTAATTTACACCCAGTTTGCCATTATATAAAACCATGTAGAAATGTATAGTTTTCCCAGTGTGCCAATAATTGATCTTCCATGTACTTTAATGAACATTGGCCCCCTTCAGGTCTCCCTTGTAAAAGAGGTATTTCGACCTCAATTGGTCAACCTGGTTAAATGGAAAAATTCAACTTTTTTTTTTTTTTTAAGTTTACACAACTCCCCAGACAGAAATGTAGAAAGCAGATGATGTCCTTTACCCCTCTGACATGCTCCTAAAACTCAAGGAGAATTTGTTTGGTTGGCATCATATGCCCCTGCCCTTAGTTGATATAGATGTGTTTTGACATTATTTGGCCTGGTAGGTTCCCCTACAAGCAAACCCTTCGAGGCTTAGTTCCAAAATAGAGGCACCACTTTGTTTCAAAAGTTGGGGAAGTTTCCAAAATGACAACATGCAGAGCAGAGAAGGGCAACATTAAAACATTTAGAGAGCATTTGACATATTTTAGAGCTTGATTCTGCTGTATGTGAGTAAGATTGTACAATTCCTTCACACAATAGTAACATGTCTGTGTTTCCTGACACCAGTTCCACCCAGGGTGTTGTATGCACTGGCATGGCCATTTGCTGCCTGGTTTCTGTTGACAAGATCAGGAATCTGGTAAACAAAAGCAAAACATAGATTACAGTGTATACTCTTCCCTAAATGTGTCCCAAATGATACATGTTGTTTACAGTTTATGTTTTACTTCTCCCATTTAGGTAATGAAAGAGCACAGTAACACTTTACTGCTCTCTCTCTCTCTCTCTCGCTCTCTCGCGCTCTCTCTCTGTCACGCCCTGGCTCTGGGGACACTTGTATGTTGAGCCAGGGTGTGCATTTCATTTGTTTATCTAGTATGTGTATTTCTATGTTGGCCTGAGTGGCTCCCAATCAGAGGCAACGAGTGTCAGCTGTCGTTGGTTGTCTCTGATTGGGAGCCATATTTAAACTGTCTGTTTCCCATTTGTGTTTGTGGGATCTTGTTTCAAGTCTGTTTATGTTAGACGGTGAACTGTCACGTATCGTTTGTTGTTTTGATCGTGTCTCTAATTAAAGAGTATGTTTGCCTGCAACGCTGCGCCTTGGTCCTCTGTTCCCGACGATCGTGACAGAAGATCCCACCTCGACTGGATCAAGCAGCGTGACGAGGAGAGAGGATGGACCTGGGAGGAGATGAGTGAGAGTCTGGCAAGAGGGATGGAGGCCATGAGCACGGGGGAGAGACAAGCCCATAAATTTTTTAGGGGGGGGCTAATGCCGTGGACGACAGGGCAGCAGGAGGCCGCCAGGTTACGGGAGTCACTGGTCACCAGGGGGAAGGAGGATGTAGAGGCACGGCGAGAGGTACTGGCGTGTGTTGCCAGTCCGGTCCGGCCTGTTCCTGATCCCCACGTAGGGCCAGTGGTGTGTGTTCCCAGTACGGTCCAGCCTGTTCCTGCCACTCGCACCAAGTCAGTGGTGCGCTTCGTCAGCCCGGCACGGCCCGTTCCTGCTCCCCGCACCAAGTCAGTGGTGCGCTTCGTCAGCCCGGTCCGGCCCGCTCCTGCTCCCCGCACCAAGTCAGTGGTGCGCGTCGTCAGCCCGGTCCGGCCCATTCCTGCTCCCCGCACCAAGTCAGTGGTGCGTTTCGTCAGCCCAGCTCGGCCCGTTCCTGCTCCCCGCACCAAGTCAGTGGTGCGCTTCGTCAGCCCGGTCCGGCCCGCTCCTGCTCCCCGCACCAAGTCAGTGGTGCGTTTCGTCAGCCCGGCGCGGCCCGTTCCTGCTCCCCGCACCAAGTCAGTGGTGCGCGTCGTCAGCCCGGTCCGGCCCATTCCTGCTCCCCGCACCAAGTCAGTGGTGCGTTTCGTCAGCCCAGCTCGGCCCGTTCCTGCTCCCCGCACCAAGTCAGTGGTGCGCTTCGTCAGCCCGGCACGGCCCGTTCCTGCTCCCCGCACCAAGTCAGTGGTGCGCTTCGTCAGCCCGGCACGGCCCGCTCCTGCTCCCCACACCAAGCCAGTGGTGTGCGTCGTCAGTCCGGCACGGCCCGTGCCTGTTCCACCGGTGGCTGGTCCGGCACCGGTCAGATGCTTCACGCCGGAGCTAGAGCAATCCGCTCCACCAGTGTGCAGTCCAGCTCCGGTCAGCGGGGCCAGACCGGACCAGGGGTACTTTGGGGGGTTGGAGAGGGAGCGGGGATCAGGCCCGGAGCCGGATCCGCCGCCTAAGCGGAGTGCCCACCCGGTCCCTCCCCTGTGGTGTTTGGTGGGCGCGGTCGGGGTCCGCGCCTTTAGGGGGGGGTACTGTCACGCCCTGGCTCTGGGGACACTTGTATGTTGAGCCAGGGTGTGCATTTCATTTGTTTATCTAGTATGTGTATTTCTATGTTGGCCTGAGTGGCTCCCAATCAGAGGCAACGAGTGTCAGCTGTCGTTGGTTGTCTCTGATTGGGAGCCATATTTAAACTGTCTGTTTCCCATTTGTGTTTGTGGGATCTTGTTTCAAGTCTGTTTATGTTAGACGGTGAACTGTCACGTATCGTTTGTTGTTTTGATCGTGTCTCTAATTAAAGAGTATGTTTGCCTGCAACGCTGCGCCTTGGTCCTCTGTTCCCGACGATCGTGACACTCTCTCTCTCTCAGGGTTGTGGGTTCGAGTCCCACGGGGACCAGTACGAAAAAGTACATATGCACTCACTACTGTAAATCGCTCTGGATAAGAGTGTCTGCTAAATGACTAAAATGTAAAATGACTAAGTAATAATCTTCAGCTGAAAATGCAATCACCCTGAAATTCTTAGGTTAAGACTTATTATAGTGGACTTCAATTTCACATTTGTTAAGTTTTATGGAGGTACTTCTTACCAGACTCATTACTCTAATGAAAATGAATCAATTACACTGTAAATAAATCATACACAATAAATTGGCATCTGAACAAATTAATAAATCCACATCTAAATCTAAAGGCCACCTCATGTGTCAATGTATTATTACGTACCTCTAAATATTTTGTATAGTTAGTCTGGATGTAACCACTGTCGTTGAATTCACTGTGGGTAACACCTGCAGTAAGAAAGAGACGTCTCAGTATTTTTCCATTGGAGTGTTTCCAGGGATAAAGGAATGTGTACACGTGTGACAGCATGGCTGTGAACATGTGACAGCAAGAGGCTTATATAAACATAACATGACATAACTTAAGCAGTTTGTTAACATTAAAAATGTGTTCTGTTAATCGACAATGTCATTAGAATCTGTGTGTAGGGACTAAGTGCCTATGCGCGCGTGTGTGTGCGTTTGTGTGTGTAAACACAGAAATGAAAGCTCCTACTTGTTTGGCCGTCTATCACGTATGCAGGGTTATCCTTGCCCTGTCTCTGTTCCACTGCACCACCACTCCTCTGGATCTGGGACCTCGTTCTCCTGGAAAACATTAAACACTTCACTGCAACAATCACACTATAAACCTCATATAATGATCAAGGTAACTGATCTGGTCATTGGGGACAAAATGGTAGCAGAATTCTCTTACCCCATTTCCTTCTGGTAGCTGGATTCTGAAATGAACCACAGAGAGAAAATAATAATGAATCAGGTATAGACGTGTTGCTTTTGTTGATGGTAATTATGCCATGATTAATGTAGTAGAAGGTCAAACTTTATTTGGATAGTCCATCTGTAGATGCTATCTACAGACTATCAGTAACATTTCAACTACCTATCTACTAACCCTAACCCTAGCATTAACCCTTATCCTAAACCTACATTTAACCCTTACCCTAACCCTAACCTTAACTCTTACCCTAATCCTTATTCTAAACCTAACCCTAATCTTAGCAAGCACTTGCTTATCAACAGATAGTTTGTTGATAGTATGACCATCAGTAGAGCATCTACGGAAAGTCCGGACTATCCAAATAAAGTGTGACCGAATTAATTCTCCAACATTTGTCCCGAGACACATAGGCCTACTGGTAGGTGTTATAGACCTATAGTCAGAGTTTTGATATTAGACCTCATGTGTAACCTTTCAGACAGTGAATAATCTATATCCACAAATGATCATACATTAACCTTCATACTCATTAGAAAGTTTACTGCAAGTCAATCTCTTTGTTGACATCTCCTTGAAATCTGTTGCTTGTTGTGCCATCCTGTGTGCATCGGACAGATGAGAGGCAGGCAGCGGGAGCCAAACAGTCCTAAAGTCACAATACTTGCTGACTGGTGTGTCCTGTATTTAGATGAAGGCCTCTGCATATATCTCACCCTGTCATTGTCCTCATAGAGGACCTCAGTGAGACCTGTCATGACTCCATCATTCAACTTTTAACGGTCTACTTGTTTTCTACTTTCTTCAGTGAAACCGAGCAAGAGGCTCGATTTTGGACATCACTCCTGCTCCTTGGACTATAGGGGGTTTGTACTTGATACAAGCTAAAGAAAGGCTTCTTACTTGCTTCTTTTCTGCGTTTGCAGCAGAAGACGATTCCAAGGATGAGCAGCACCAGCAAAGCGAAGCCACCGATGGAACAAACGACAGCTATGAGCACAGTCCAGTCAGGGGGCTCTGGTGAAACAGTAATCTCTAGGTAAGTAAGGGTTAGTGAGTTAGTATGTATAGTTAGTGAGTATCACAGTGAAGACTGACATCTTAGCCTCAAACTCAGTTGCCTATTGAGTCAGCAGGTTCTATTGTAAGTCCAACCTGCCACTAGTTGTTACAGTACTAAACTAATCAAATGTGTGACGGAACTACAGAAAATTATAAATGGCAATGTATGGGAGTGTTTCATATACATATAATATGGAGCCTCGGTGCCCTTGAACGAAATACACAACTTGTATCACGTAAGCATCTGCATAAACAAAAACTTCATTCACTTATTTTTTTATGTAATAAGTAGTTATGGAAAAATATTCACGGTCCCACAGAACAGGACAAAGGCATATGTTAAGGGAGGTAGCTCTTATCCTTTCTCAGATGACATAATCTTTTTATTGCTCAAAACATTGTACGGCAAGCCAGGATCATCAGCTTTTAATTGTGATTTTTGGCAGCACCTCGACTTGGCCAGGAACCCATAAAATCACTTTCCTGACTCCACAAGGGTTCCCATTTCTGACAATGTAAGCAGGCCTCACTAAATCCTGTCCATGTTGAAGGTACTGTCCAGGCTACTGGAAGTGACCAGACAGGGCCGGCATTATGGGCAGGCCTTAGGGGGCCTGGCCCGCCCTACTGTACCTCCTTAACTGTCCAAATAAAACATGTAAATATTGATCATTTATTTGATCGAGAAGCACGCAAACAGCAAGACTGATCAATCTCAGATAAAGCATTCGAGTGAGCAAAACAGCGCCCCACTGTCTCAATATGTGTAGCCCATGTATCTGATGCTGTCTGGCCAAAAAGAGATGACAGTTTCGCTCGCTCGGATGCTTTCTCCGGTGAGATAGTTTCAGCCACTTGCGAATTTAAGGAAAGTTGGCGGGTGCACGGTGAACTGTTAGGATGCTGGAATTATTTTGGACAAACGTGCTAAGGTAATCTACTTTTGAAGTGATTTGTTTGACAATCAGATGAAAATATCAGACTGGTTGTGTTCATGCACATTAAACCGTAATACATTTTTACAGTTAAATTACATCTTTACAATAAAACCCATTAAAACAATGTGTGCATGCGCTTGTCCCGTAAACAAAACGTGCCCCCCTATGGAAATCAAATGCCTGTCCAACTGATTTGTTCTGGTGCCGGCCCTGGACAGACAGAAAAGTCAGAAGAGTTCTTACCAACCACCAGGTAGATGGAGCTGGATAGTGCGGTGGTTAGGGCAGATACGCTGGCCAGGCACTTCACCTGGACACTGTTGACCCCACGGACAGTGAGGAGGCTGATGGAGTTATACAGACCGTCCAGGGCCTCACTGCTACTGTTGTAGCTGTTCTGGTCCACCACAACCCCATCCAGCACCCAGCTCACTGTGGGCTTAGGGAACCAACCAGAGGCCTCACACCGGATGATGGCCTGGTGGCCCTGGGCCACTGTCATGTTACCTCCCACAATCCTCACTGTGCCGCTCTCTATGGGAACAGACAGAAGAGAACAGTCAGCAACCGTGAGGGTTGACATCATACATTAATCACAATGAATATACTGTAGGGTTAATGTTGGACCAACTACAGAGTGGAAAATACTACAGATGTAGGATCTTAATTTGAGCCTGTTTGCTACAGCAGGAAAATAATCCTGCATCTGTATGTTCTAGTATGGTGAATGCTTTCTGAATGTCCTGACTTAACACTGGTCCCAGCTGAGGGTTGGCCACAATGTAAACAATCAATGTAATCTCGACATCCATTCAGTTGGATATTACTAATGGCTGCCTAGGAGTATTGATACATGGAGGGGAATATGTTTGTAATCGGGTAGGTCCAAATCAGGGGAATGAGATAAGTCCATCCATGCACCATAGGAAACAAATCAATATCCAATAAAAGCAATCCAATAGAGCCAGCAGGAGCCACAATGAGATAAAGCCTACAACCAGGTTTAGATCCTCTGTACATTAAAACCCCTGGGTGGAGGGCTGGTGGAGGATGTAGCTGGTACGTGTTTGATTCAGTTTTTTAACTGAATGGATGAGGGATCATAATTTTCTGTGTGAGTTCTGGATTTATCCATGTTTATCATGACATCATACATGAATCACAATGAATATACTGTCCCTGGAGGAATGGAATGGTGAACACTAAGATGAATAGTAAATTGGAACCGTGAATTTGTAAATGGCATACCATCACCCAAGCCACTAGAGCAAGGAGGAGAAAACAGAGTCAACCAGGGACAACCACACTCACGTGATGAGTACCCTTGCCTGAGATTTGAAGACTTGCATTAGGTCCCTAAGCTAATGCATAGGCTTTAGCTCAGCAAGATAGCAGTCTTAAGGCACACAGGAGACCAGGGTTCAAATTACGGTCAGTCATACATTTTGCTGAAGTGTTAATAAAAACAGATTGGCAAAAGAGTGTTTAGTAAAGATCAACTGAATTGAGAATATTTGGCTCCCGAAATGTTTTTCGACATCTTGTCTCCAGGCTGGAATCTTTTAACTAAGTGTCTAAGAACATCTGATGTCAAACTTTACTCCTCTCTTTTTTGTGTGAACTCTACCATGTAGAAATAGGCAAAGTCAAATTTTGCAAATCAATGAGCCCCTCCTTATGCGTATGCGTGGTGCAACTCTTCAAGATAGTCCCTAACTGCTGAGCCCTGCAAGGCATTTGTAAATCTACAGTGTGTTTCCGATATGCTTTCTTATACAGTGGCTTGCGAAAGTATTCACCCCCCTTGGCATTTTTCCTATTTTGTTGCCTTACAACCTGGAATTAAAATTGATTTTTTGGGGGTTTGTATCATTTGATTTACACAACATGCCTACCACTTTGAAGATGCAAAATATATTTTATTGTGAAACAAACAAGAAATAAGACAAAAAAACAGAAAACTTGAGCGTGCATAACTACCCCCCCCCCCCCCCCCCCCCTTTTGCAGCAATTACAGCTGCAAGTCTCTTGGGGTATGTCTCTATGAGCTTGGCACATCTAGCCACTGGGATTTTTGCCCATTCTTCAATGCAAAACTGCTCCAGCTCCTTCAAGTTGGATGGGTTCCACTGGTGTACAGCAATCTTTAAGTCATACCACATATTCTCAATTGGATTGAGGTCTGGGCTTTGACCATTCCAAGACATTTAAATGTTTCCCCTTAAACCACTCGAGTGTTGCTTTAGCAGTATGCTTAGGGTCATTGTCCTGCTGGAAGGTGAACCTCTGTCCCAGTCTCAAATCTTTGGAAGACTGAAACAGGTTTCCCTAAAGAATTTCCTTGTATTTAGCGCCATCCATCATTCCTTCAATTTTGACCAGTTTCCCAGTCCCTGCCGATGAAAACCATCCCCACAGCATGATGCTGCTACCACCATGTTTCACTGTGGGGATGGTGTTCTCAGGGTGATGAGAGGTGTTGGGTTTGCGCCAGACAGCTCAAAAAGCTCAATTTTAGTCTCATCTGACTAGTACCTTCTTCCATATGTTTGGGGAATCTCCCACATGCCTTTTGGCGAACACCAAACGTGTTTGCTTATTTTTTTCTTTAAGCAATGGCTTTTTTCTGGCCACTCTTATGTAAAGCCCAGCTCTGTGGTGTACGGCTTAAAGTGGTCCTATGGACAGATACGCCAATCTCCGCTGTGGAGCTTTGCAGCTCCTTCAGTGTTATCTTTGGTCTCTTTGTTGCCTCTCTGATTAATGCCCTCCTTGCCTGGTCCGTAAGGTTTGGTGGGCGGTCCTCTCTTGGCAGGTTTGTTGTAGTGCCATATTCTTTCAATTTTTTTATAATAGATATAATGGTGCTCTGGGGATGTTCAAAGTTTCTGATATTTTTTTATAACCCAACCCTGATCTGTACTTCTCCACAACTTTGTCCCTGACCTGTTTGGAGAGCTCCTTGGTCTTCATGGTGACGCTTGCTTAGTGGTGCCCCTTGCTTAGTGGTGTTGCAGACTCTGGGGCCTTTCAGAACAGGTGTATATATACTGAGATCATGTGACAGATCATGTGACACTTAGATTGCACACAGGTGGACTTTATTTAACTAATTATGTGACTTCTGAAGGTAACTGGTTGCACCAGATCGTAATTAGGGGCTTCATAGCAAAGGGGGTGAATACATATGCACGCACCACTTTTCCGTTATTTATTTTTTAGAATTTTTTGAAACAAGTTATTTTTTAAATTTCACATCACCAATTTGGACTATTTGGTCCATTACATGAAATCCAAATAAAAATCCATTTAAATTACAGGTTGTAATGCAACAAAATAGGAAAAACGCCAAGGGTGATGAATACTTTTGCAAGGCACTGTAGTTCACTTTATTTACCCCAAAATAATGGGGGAGGGGTGGGGGGGGGATTGGTTCTTCTATCCTTTTGGGGACCTAAAATCGCTCAAAGTCACCATAAAGATAGTAAAAAAAAGGAACATTCTCCCGCGTGGGGACATTTCCCTCTGCCCAATGAGGACAAAGGCTTTTTTAAGCTTAGGGGTTTGGTTTAGGGTTAGGGTTACAATTAGGATTAGGGTTATACACTGCTCAAAAAAATAAAGGGAACACTTAAACAACACAATGTAACTCGAAGTCAATCGCACTTCTGTGAAATCAAACTGTCCACTTAGGAAGCAACACTGATTGACAATACATTTCACATGCTGTTGTGCAAATGGAATAGACAACAGGTGGAAATTATAGGCAATTAGCAAGACACCCCCAATAAAGAAGTGGTTCTGCAGGTGGTGACCACAGACCACTTCTCAGTTCCTATGCTTCCTGGCTGATGTTTTGGTCACTTTTGAATGCTGGCGGTGCTTTCACTCTAGTGGTAGCATGAGACGGAGTCTACAACCCACACAAGTGGCTCAGGTAGTGCAGCTCATCCAGGATGGCACATCAATGCGAGCTGTGGCAAGAAGGTTTGCTGTGTCTGTCAGCGTAGTGTCCAGAGCATGGAGGCGCTACCAGGAGACAGGCCAGTACATCAGGAGACGTGGAGGAGGCCGTAGGAGGGTAACAACCCAGCAGCAGGACCACTACCTCCGCCTTTGTGCAAGGAGGAGCAGGAGGAGCACTGCCAGAGCCCTGCAAAATGACCTCCAGCAGGCCACAAATGTGCATGTGTCTGCTCAAACGGTCAGAAACAGACTCCATGAGGGTGGTATGAGGGCCCGACGTCCACAGGTGGGGGTTGTGCTTACAGCCCAACACCGTGCAGGACGTTTGGCATTTGCCAGAGAACACCAAGATTGGCAAATTCGCCACTGGCGCCCTGTGCTCTTCACAGATGAAAGCAGGTTCACACTGAGCACATGTGACAGACGTGACAGAGTCTGGAGACGCCGTGGAGAACGTTCTGCTGCCTGCAACATCCTCCAGCATGACCGGTTTGGCGGTGGGTCAGTCATGGTGTGGGGTGGCATTTCTTTGGGGGGCCGCACAGCCCTCCATGTGCTCGCCAGAGGTAGCCTGATTGCCATTAGGTACTGAGATGAGATCCTCAGACCCCTTGTGAGACCATATGCTGGTGCGGTTGGCCCTGGGTTCCTCCTAATGCAAGACAATGCTAGACCTCATGTGGCTGGAGTGTGTCAGCAGTTCCTGCAAGAGGAAGGCATTGATGCTATGGACTGGCCCGCCCGTTCCCCAGACCTGAATTCAATTGAGCACATCTGGGACATCATGTCTCGCTCCATCCACCAACGCCACATTGCACCACAGACTGTCCAGGAGTTGGCGGATGCTTTAGTCCAAGTCTGGGAGGAGTTCCCTCAGGAGACCATCCGCCACCTCATCAGGAGCATGCCCAGGCGTTGTAGGGAGGTCATACAGGCACGTGGAGGCCACACACACTACTGAGCCTCATTTTGACTTGTTTTAAGGACATTACATCAAAGTTGGATCAGCCTGTAGTGTGGTTTTCCACTTTAATTTTGAGGGTGACTCCAAATCCAGACCTCCATGGGTTGATAAATTTAATTTCCATTGATAATTTTTGTGTGATTTTGTTGTCAGCACATTCAACTATGTAAAGAAAAAAGTATTTAATAAGATTATTTCATTCATTCAGATCTAGGATGTGTTGTTTAAGTGTTCCCTTTATTTTTTTGAGCAGTGTATATTAATTAGGGAATATATTAATTGTAGGTCCCCACGAGGATAGAATAACATAACGTGTGTGTGTGTGTGTGTATGTGTGTGTGTATGTGTGTGTGTGTGTGTGTGTGTGTGTGTGGACTGGCCTGAGGCTGCAGTGAACTAGCTGCTCTGGACTGTGCTGATCACTCTGTTTCCCATTCCGTGTACCAGAATGCTGCCGTTGGTGAGGACATTCTCACCTTTACTGTAAAGGCGAGGCTGCAAGTTCATTGCTAGACATGACTGCCTTGTTGACCTGATAGCCAGCGAGGTGAGACAAGTAGTCTCACCAACAGCACACATGTACGTTTGCCCACTGAAAAAGAAA